CAGTGGTGGAAATGTTCTATGTCCATTCTGCCCAATACCATACACACTTGCTGAAGGATCTGGATTTTACATTTAATTAAATTTCAGTAGCTACATGTGGCTGATGACTGCCCTATAGCATGGACAGCATAGTTCTAGAACAGTCTTTTTGGACAAGAATTTCTCCCTTAGTGTCAGTCACTGTCTACCCCATTGCTCCTGGTCTGTATCTTGCCCTGGCTGCTCTCCTGACCCATATTTATAAATATCTACCAGATCTCCACCTGGCTGGTCTGTGGTTCTCTCAAATCGATGTGGTTAATTTTTAATTCTTTATCTTTACACACAAAACACTGTTTCTCCTGGCCTTCCTGGTATCACTTTATCCTTGGTCACCTTGTTCATTTTTTAGAACACAGTTCTCATCATACTGTGCCATTCATATATAATCACTAATATTATTAAACTTGGGCTAATTTAGGAGCTCTCTTTAAGGAAAAAGAATATTAAGGTGCAAATGCAAAGTTATGTTCAGAGCTTTGGAGGAGCCTGGGCAAATGAGGGAGGGTGTCTCTGAAATTTAAATTTTATTCCCTTAACTGTAAATTTGCCTCAGTTTATTATTAGAGTCTTTTGCAGTTTCAAGGTTTGGTTACATTCTTACTGTATGAACTTGGTACTTAACTATGCTGAGAATTAATTGGTTTATTGAAGATAAAAATAATAATGCCTATTTGACTGGCTTGTTACACAATTAAATGTGTCCATTGATATCTATCAATGGTAAAGAAGTTATATATGTGTGTATGGGTGTGTATATATGTACACACATGTATATATACATGCACATGCACACAGGTATATATGCATGCATGCACACACATGTATGGATATGTATATATACACATACACACAATGGAATATTCTGCAACAATAAAAATAATGAAATTTTGCCATTTTGTACAATGTGCGTGGATCCAGGGGGTATTATGCTGAGTAAAATAAGTCAGGCAGAAAAAGACAAATGCTATATGGTTTCACTTACACGTAGAATCTAAAAATGAAACTAACCAACCAACTAAAGAAAAACAGACTCATAGAAACAGAGAACAAAAGGATGGTTACTAGAAGGGAGGGGAAGGGTGAAAAGGGGAAGGGGAATGTAGCCAACAAATTGTGATAAGTTTACATCATGACATGATTACTAGAATTAGCAGGGTGATCACACTGTAAGTTATAAAAATGTTGAATCACTATGTTGTATACATGAAATTAATATAACTAATATAAGATTATATACCAGCTATACTTAAATAAAAAAGATAATATATGAAAAGACCAATATATCTAGAAAGTATGTCTTGAAAATTTTATTCCCTTGTTCTCATTATGTAGGAAGTAGTGCCAGCAATAGTAATGATAATGGTAGTAGCTAATATATCAGATGCTATGTTTAACACTTTACATAGAATGTCTCATTTATTTCTACGAGGTAGGTACTCTTCTTGATCCCACTTTACAGGTGGGAAAACTGAGGCCCAAAGAGGGTAAGCAATAATGCCTGAGTTTTCTCATGCTTGTGAATAGTGAAGCTGGGATTCAAACCCAGGCAGTTGGATGCTTTGTATTCTTAACCTCATGCTCTGAGCAGGGCTTTGTGGATTCTTTGCAATCCCGCTTTTATCAATATGCTGAATTCTGTCCACATATATCTATATTCTTGCCAACTTGTAAAAATTTCATGACTTGCTGTGCGTTTCTTTTTCTTTCCTCAGGTTGTTTTTCTCCCCTGGACTACCCTTCCTTCCTCCTCAATCTCCTGTGTGTCCCATGGGCTTTGTTCATATCTTTGTATAGCTTTCTTACTGCTTTTACTTGGAAGGGGTTGCTGAGAGGGTTTTCCCCCCAATATAATGCAATGTCCTTCCTATGGGCATCATAAATGACTATCTCCTGAGCAACTGCTCTGCTTTTGTTTCATAAAGGAACCTTAAATATATAGCTGTCAGAGCCCCCCACCCTCAGGCCATACTCATCAGAGTATTTGGGGTTGGGTTGGGTTTCACTGATTGAAAATATCATGATTTTTTTCTTTGGTCTAGTTACTAGAAGGCTAAGAACCAAGTCCTAGCTCAGTTCTGCAAGGAAGTAGGACCTTGGGCTTTATTTTGTCTCTTACCCTTATTTTCATTTCACCTTGTATTTTAAATTGTACATCACTTCCACTTTGGTCATTTATTTTTCTAGGCCACCTAAAATAATTTTTGGAATCACTAGAGGTATAAATATAAATGATGGTGATAATGTTGATGATACCAGAGAGTTTCTTTAGAAAAATCAGAACAGTTGATAATTACAGCTGCCGAAGTATCAGCCAGACTCAAAAGAGACATTGGTAGAAAACACAGGATGAAATCAGATGGGAAAGCCTTGAAGAAAAAACTCTCTTCAAATCCAGGGGCACCAATCACTTAGAACAATTCCATAGTCATGGGTGTCTAAATGCAGCTCACATGTGGTCATTCATCTGGTGTCTTTATCTTACTGGGCTCTTCTTAGATTCTAGCTTTATTGAAGAGATTAAAAAGTTAGACTGCTAAGAAAGATGTATTAAATGCAATCTTCTAGAACAAATAAATTTCTTTGTATATTTGAAGCTACTGACATATATAAATACCCAGAGTCTAAGTCTACCCCTCAGTTTTTATTGTGGTGACTTCCTGCTCAGGTGTCCCCATCCCATCGGGTGATAACCCCTGAGTGCATTGAGCACACCACCAGAGACAGCTGCAGCATTTTCACTTTTCCCATTTGCCAGCCTTGGTCCTCAGTATCTGGAAGCAGGCATGGGGGTTGTGGCTGTGAAATGGCTTTTTGTCCCCATTGCATTTGAGGTGCTTTGGGCCTCAAAATGGCAAAATGGAAAGGGGTGGCTGGAGAAAGAGGTCCTGGCGAGATTCCCTTGGTTCCTAACTGGCCTCTTGCCAATGCCCCCAGATGGTGGGGGCTGAGGGCAGGCCCCTCAGGTGGGGGCCCATATGCCTAGGCAGCCCACTCAGGGCTTGGCAGCCTTGTGTGCCCAGCACCTCCTTAAAAACTGATTATCCGGCTTACCTCCTTTGTGAGCCGGCTCATTACCATTTCATTGTACTGTGGTAATTCTTACCCTTCGCAATGAATATTGACTTCATGCTTGCTTTTCTAACTGAGTCACAGGGGCACTCTGAGGCCTGTATGGCTTGCCCAGCTCCAGCCTCCCTGGCAGCCACTTGAATAGTCTAAAAAAAAAAGCTGTTTGCTTGGGCATTTAGGCATAACAGAGAGCTGTCACAGGCCACTACAGTGATTTATTAAAAGACAGGAAAGCGGGAGAAAAGACCCTTACTTATTTCTTGCACCAGCTGCCTGCTCGCTTTCTTTCATTCTCTGTCTATCCCTCTGCCTCTGTCCCTGCTTCCTCTCTTTCTCTCTTTATTTCTTCCTTCCTCTCCTCTCCTTCCTTGCCTTTCTTTCCCTCTCTCTTTCTTTGCTGTCTCTTTGTTCTCATTTTTAAAATGAGAGGGGGGAAGAAGAATGCTATGCTTTAGGCACACATTTTTCCCCACCTAAATGCAGCATAGCAATAGAGGTAGTTGGGTCCAAAGGTTTCCCATTTGAAGGCTATGAAAGGAGATTGAACACTTGTGTGCAGACATGAAGTACATACACACACAGCAAATGGTGTTCAGCTGTGCTGAAAAGAGGACACTCCACTGGGGAAAGTTAGGCAGGTTGTCACTTGTCCTCTTCTCATCACAACTCCTCCTCCTCAGACACACTCCAGTGGTTCTGACCTTCTGGAAACCTCCCCTAATGCAGTGCCTGTCTTCTGCAGGGGCCACCCAGCACTCTCTGGCCTGGGCTTCTCTCTGGAGCATGCTGCCTGGAGGGTCTTCTCTCCTTGTTGTGGTTCTTCGCAGGCCTAGACGCAGCCTCATTGTGTCTTTGACACAAACATGGCTGGTGGGAGGGCAGACCTCCCAAGTGATGATGATACGTTTTGGGTGACCACAAACTAACCTATTGGACCACTGAGCCAGCTGTTTCATGGGGTCGCTGCAATAGGAAGGAGCTGGAGAGCATGCCGAACAACCCTGGGCATTCTGGCTACTTATAGGTGATCCTAGGGGCTGGTGAGCTGTTCAAAATCAAGCCACAAGGACTTTGTTTTCAGACCTTGTCTGAGGTTCAGAAACATAGGCCTCTTTGTGGCTTCTAGGAACTTCCTAGACATGCAGTTTTTTTAAAACCCACTATGGAGATAAAAAAAAATATTGATACCTTTCCTCCCACCTTTTGAGTTCTTCTGGCTGGGCTAATCACCAAATTAACAGGGACAAATTAATATGAGAATAATTAAAGTTTAATACATGTACACAGGGAATTCACACAGAAATGACAAATCTATGAAAATTCCAGACAGTGAGGCAACATTGGGTATATAAGATATTTTGGACAAAAGAGAAAAGGGGGTTGGGGAATTAGATTTCAGAAGTAAGAATGGACAATTTTTAGGTAGCTGAAGAACATACAGGGAAGGAAAATTCTTGATGAAACCCTCTAGTTTACCACATTTAATTCACATTAGGCTAAGGCAGCATCCTAAGATCAGCTTCCTGAATCAGTTTTCTCCCTGAATCTCTTGGGCAGGAAATGGGGGAGGGTCAAAGGTTCTTTCTGAGTCTTATTTCTTTATAAAGAGCTTAAAATGTCTCCCAAAGCAGATTCGGGGTGGCAGCATTTGAGTCCCTTCACTGCCTACAATGTCTATGCTTCGTTACTGGAGCTCATTTCTGCAGCCCCTCCCCTCACCATCTCATTGTTTGCTCTCTGTCCTCTGCTGTGCCCTCACCTTTCACTTTGCTGTTGCCAAATGCCTTTGGTCTGTCTTATCTCCCTCCATGAGCTCTAATTAGCCTCCTCACAACCCCATAAATCAGCTGCCCCCACTCCTCTGGTTTGCTTCCTCTTGGAGGCTGCAGGCTCACCTTTCCCTTCCCAGATGACAAATCAGCCATTAATCTTGGTTTGAAAAACGTTTATTGGCCGACTTCCTCCAGTAGCTTCTGAACTGTTTGCAAATAAAGAGGAGGGATTTTTGGTGACCTCAGTAGAGATAGGAACTCACAGGTGGATTTATTCTCAGGTTTGATTTTTCTCTTTTCCTTTTTTTTTTTTTTTCGTGAAAAGGGTAAATATACTACTCTGTCTCTCAGTGCTTGTGATTTCTTATTTTTGAAAAGATTTAAGATCTGTTGGTCTGTAGTGTGTTTGTTTGCATGAATAAGGCTGGTTTGTTGCTATGTATGCATCGAGACGGGGTGACCTGCGGGGTAATGAAGAGGGTGGTTGGACTGGACGTTCAGTGACTCTGAACAGTGCAAACAGGGCACCATTATGCTGTTTTTATGGTCAACAGACAATGGCTGCAGAGAGTAAGCTAAAAAAGTTCAGGAATTGGAGTGCTTTAGGCCTCTGATTTAGCCTTTGCATTTCCTCTGTGTGATGTCCAGATGTGAGAGTGCTCTGGTCTCCCTTCCTTCTTAGGCTCTAGGACTTTGAGTCATCTCGTAGTCCAGATTCAGTCTCTGGGGAGCAGGACGAATTTATCAGCAGAGGTGTGTTTTTAAGGATGTAGGGAATAAAACTGGGAAGCTCATGGGATGATAGGAAGACCGCATCCTGAGAAAGAATCTTTGTAAAGGGAAGACCAAACTTTCAAGTGTCATGGGTTGGAGATGGGTTGTGTGTAAGATGTGGGGTATTGGGTTCTTTAGTTTCATCTCTGTTTTAACACAAAAGAAATTTGTGATGTGGGCATTTGGGGTATAGGACTAGGGCAGTGGGGGAGATGTTTTCATGGTCCTCGGGCCCCATTCAGATTGCGCCTTATAGAAACAATTAATGGGGCTTCATAACTTCCACACTATAAGGTGTTCTACACCAAAATAGTGATGATGAAATTTGTAATCTTGATATTCATTGTTTGATGGACACACACTTTAAATTTACCAACAGTAAATTTAGACTGAGGATTACCCATTCAACTGATTTTTAAGAAAATCTACTTTTTATTCACCAGGGTTTTTTAAAAAAGGAGACCATGTGTATGCTATAAAATTTGTTTAGCAATTTGTTCTTTCTTCCCCGTGCTCTTTAACCCTCAGAGATAGTTAGTGTCTCCCTCATCACTGGAAAGGTCTTGAGAATTGGAGCATTGTCATTTTCATCTTTATGTCATCATCTCTCTCCCCAGGCTCATCTATTCATTGTTTTCTTATATTTCAATTGATATATAAATTACTTACAATGACATGCACAGATCTTTAGTGTGAGTTTAATAATTTTTGACAAGTTCATACACATATGTAACCCACAGAACATTTCCATTACTCCAAAAAGTTCCTCTGGGCTCCTTATCAGACAGTCCTTCTCCCCTTGCCAAAACCAACTACTTTCATTTCTATCACTGTATATTCACTTGCCTGTTTTAAAACTTCATAGAGTTGGAGTCATACAGCACATATTCTTTTGTGTCAGACATTCTTTACTTCCCATACTTAAAAAAAATGATCCATTGATTGATGACTGACGTGGTTGGGAAGATGATCTTGACCAATTCACAGAATTTTTACTCTCATGGAAAGGGTCATTGCCACAGGGTCCATCTGGGATATCCAGGATAGCTAAATAATTAGCACCCATTTTGAACAAGTTCTTGAGAATAAAAGAAACTTCCCACCTATTATGTGTGTGCAGAGTGGTGTGGGGTGGGGTGTTAGGGTGCATTGTTTTCTTCCTAGTACTTGGAAGGTACTTTTCATTGGAAGTGTTTTTATAGACAGCCTGTAAGTTCACTGAAACAATTCTATAACTACTGTACTTTTTTCCGGGGCTGTTCTTTGTTGAGGAGGCTTCTGTGGGCTGGCTAAAATGTTAATCCTTTGTGCAGAATATACCTGCTGAATGACTTGCAAATGAACCTAGTCTGTTGAAAATGAAGAGGTGCCTTGACCGTGATATTTGTTGTTTTATCACAGTGTCTGGGGTGCAGGTCCTGGCTGTGGAGAATTTTCTACCCATGCTGTTTCTATGTGCTCTGCCCCTTCCTTAATCCCAGGCATTTTAGGTTTGGCTGGCCTTGCTCACATGTTCAATTAATTTATAAGGGTGGATGTTATACCAGTCTAGCTGTTTGGGGTTGTACCTAAGGCACAGGCCAAAAAGTCACCTTAGTACTTATTTAATTTATCTCTCTTTGCCAGTGGTGAACTGTTAATGATTAATGTTCTGTCCTTCAAAGTGGAAGATAATCATTCTGCCCCAGAGATTTTGTTTTATTTTAAGTTTATACTTTCTTCTAGCAATGCTTATTGACTTGTGCAGTTAGACTGTGTCATTAGGTGCTTAGACATCACAGAATTTTAGAGTATTGAGTCCTTTTGGGGGTCAGTTTTTTAATAAAAAATGAGAATGTATGTCAGAGTTTTACTTGATGCTTGAAAGTCACTTCATTATCATATGTATGTGTACATATATAATATTATCACTTATATAATATTCATGCAAATATGAAAGTCAGGAGAGCCATGTATTACAGTAATTAGTTTGTTAAGTTCCACTGATAATAAGTAGCCACTACATTCTTCAGAAATGGATGGTGTTTGAAGCAGAGGGTTTTGTATCTCAGTTGGGTGACTCAGAGAGAAGCTGACTTAACATATCATAACAATGATGTATTTGTATATGTAATATATAAATATATAATAACAATTAGTTATTTTGTTTGACATTATTAAAATTTCTGCAGTCAAGGAATTGGGAATCATCTATGTTCTGTTTGAACTTACTACTTCTGGCTTTTGGCCTTCTGTGTTTGATAACCCCCAACATTGACTCTTTACTCTTCAGGTAAAAGAGAGAGGGAGGTGACCCTCATCCTGCCTCAGGTCTCAGGAGACCCTCCTGTTGATGCCTGTGAGAGCTGAACATGTGTATCTGAGGGGAGGCTATGGATCTGCTGGCTATAGAAGAAGTCGTCCTTGACTGTGAAATAGAGAGTTTAAAAAACAGCTTTACCCAAGGGCCCAAAGCTAATGATTCCAGAGTGTTGACTATGATATCAGAGTAAACAATAGCAGGCTTTCATAGTGTTTACTTAGCTCTGCAACTTATAAAGGAATTGCTTGTGCTTCCATCCATACCACATTGCTGGCTTATGTCACAACAGTCTCAAACTTAACAGCCTTTGAAGCAATTTAAATGACTTTGGCCTTTTGTTTAGGTTGTGGGTCAGTGCAGAAAGGAAGTTTTCTATAAACCACCATGATTTTTGCCTCAAATTGGAATGGGCATGTATTTGATTAGAATTTCTTTTATATCCAGAAATGGTGTCAACAGACTGGATAGAAGTGTCAAACAGGAGGGGCAAGTGCTTTAAACTCATCAGATGTTCACACTCCTTATTCTGTTTAATCTAAACCATGGCAGACAATGTGAGATGTTTAATTATGGTTTAAATAATTCCAGCGAAGCATATTTTATTCAAATGTGCTCATTCTATTGTGTTTTTATAAGTAGCGTCAGCTGTACTGGTCTTACTACACCCAATGGCTGCTGTGAAATTTCTCAAATAGAGACATTTTCTAAAACAAAATAATTTTGAGCTCTAATTGCACATGATACCATTTTTAAAGAAGCAGGCTGGTACTACATTGAAATAAAATTAGCCACAAAGATTTTGGCCAGAGCTAATAAATGACAACTGATAGAAAATTAGCATATTGAGTATTCTGGATATTATTATTATTATTATTATTATATTCATTTCTCCAAACTCTTTTTGAGGTGTATAGGGGAAAGATGTACATACGTTTGATAAACCTTATTTTGCTAATGTAAAACCTGAAGTTCAACAGACTTAAGCCATGTAGATAAAGTCACCCAATAACAGAACCTGCGAGTAAGTCCTAAGCTTCTCGATTCCTTTTCCTGGCCTTTTGTCAATTGGCTGCAGTGTTCAGGGCACCATGCCAGACTCAAGTGAACAGTCAAAACTTTTTTTTGCAAATTATGGCTCTCCTCTGAGCCTCTCCACTGCCTTTGAGTCTTGTCACCAACCATTTAGGTTTACTTCCACCCCTACCTCATCCTGTCACCACACATGAACTCAGTAAATGCCAAGCCATTGCTATATTTTATACTTTACTTGGCCCCTTCTCCCAATAAGGTTTACCTAATGCCGTGCTCTGCTTCCCTAGAGCCAAACTTAACAGTGTGAGAAGTGAAAGGGAGATAACAACAGGGCTTGTCATGGCACCATGCATATCTGAATATTTTCTGGAGAGCAGAGGCTTCTTTCATACCTTGGGTCAAAGCAAACCCACAGGTTTCATCCTAAAAAGTCAACACTCTCTCGTATGGATAGTTGGTTCTGAATAAATTGTGAGTGAACAAATGAATAATTCAAGTCCAACATACATATTCTAAAGGGGGAGAGTAAGGCCCAGAAAAGTGGAATAGTCTGAGGCCCCAGTGGCAGAGCAGAGACTAAAAACAGATCTTTTATAGGCTGCTCTTGTTACTATTCCATACTGACCTCTTTCAAGGTTAGTTTTAGAAAAACTTCCAGAGAAACCTCATCCTCCCTTGTTCAGTCTTCTGCCTCCCCTTGACCTATTACTTCCTCCGTACATCTTAGCACTTGATTCCACTGAATGCATTACTTTTTAACATTCCATTTTTCACTATTCTTATTCGAGCTCAATTCCTGGCATATCAAGTATACTCTGTGTTTGTTGAGAAGTGAAGTGTAAAGGTCCTGAAAAGAAGGGAGACACCTGCCTTCTATTTCTGTTGTGTTTATGCAGTTCACAAATGTGTCATAGGCACATAGTAGGTTTTCAACAAAGATTTATTAAATATAATTAAATTTTCTGGTAGCTGAGCAACTAGACAGACGGGTAGATAGATATAAATTAGCCACACAGATTTAAACCATGTGTTGATCATTGAAAAGTTGTTTCATTTTTGGCCAAGATAAATGCTTTCTTAATGTGCAAAGAAATCTATAATTTTCTGTGCTTTGAATTAAAGCTCCTACTTCCCAGGTTTCCTGCCTGCTTCTGGCTGCTCTTAATGAGCTAA